GCCGCGCCCTCGCCCCTCCCGGGCCTGCCCCTCCGCAGCTGGCAGCACCGAGGTGAGTCCCCTCTTAGCTGCCCCGCTCTCCTTCCTAGCACCCCCCTCCCCGGGAGCAGGGGAGCCTCAGGCCCTGCGGTCGGGTCTTGTTCGAGCCGGGTGCGGGGGTGGGGGGAGACAGCAAGAGGAAGGGGAGTCCGACTGTTGTGAGCAGTGAGCAGGAGAGGGCACCTCCTGGACGCCATCCTGCAAGTCCTGCTGCCTCCGTCATCCCTCGGGTGGTCATCCTCACGCGCTGTCCTGACTTCCCCGTCTACCAGCCCTGTTCATCCCCCCGCCGACCCAGAAGTTCTTGATGCCTAGTCTCGTGGCCTCGGATTCCCCCAGCCCCACGGTCCTTAGTGACCCCCACCCCAGTCCACAGCCCAGGCCCAGGTTCGACGTGGCAGGCAGCACAAGCGTCGGCCCTGGTGCTGGTGCACAGCGAGGTGGCGCGGCTCCTTGGCGCGCGGGCCGGGCGCTGAGGGACGGATGGTATAGCTCTGTTGTGGGGAGGTGGGAGCTATGTTCGCCTGGGGCGCCCAGGACGGCAGAGACGGATTTGGGTACGAGTGCTTGGGAGCAGGAGTTTTCTTGGGAAACTGGCCTCTCTGCCTTGGAGAGCTCTCTTGGCTCTTGGGGAGCAGCCAGGGGGACTTCAGGTGCGCCTCTACCTCGGCACCTGTTGGGGCCTCTCCGAGACAGGGGAGGGAAGAAGAATGTGCGTGCTTGGGACATGGAGGGGCGTGAGGGAGCCTTTCTCGCTGCCCTTGGTTTTGGGGACGAGGGTACTGCCCCAGCCCCTGGCTTGGCTCTGGCTCTGGCAGACACAGGTCCGCAGGTACGAACTTGGTCCTGTCCCCCGTCCCCCGCCCGCAATTCTTCTACCCCCGCCTGCCAGTCTGCTCAGGGCGGCCAAAACTCTCCAGCCTTGAGCCCGTCCTGGGGAGGGCTAATGAGAAATTATCTGGATGTTTACATTTTTGGGTCAGAATCTGGCCCCGGATGGAGTACCGATTTATCCTGATAGTGTTGCAGGCAAGAAGGTGAAAGTTATTCCTGCCCTCTGCTGCGATGTAGTCCCTAGTCTCAGCTCTACCCCCAGCTAGGTCCTCTTCCCCAACCTGCGTCTTCCCCTCCTGGACCATATGACCTCTCTTTGGTCTCCCGCCCCAGCTCTGCCTCTGTCCCCAGCTCCATAGGTCCACTCCCAAGCTGGGCTGTGCCCTACACACCTTGCCAACACCCAGTCCTGGGTATCAAATCTACCGGCTGGTCACTAACTAGGTCCATAACGCCCAAGACCCTTCACCCCTCAGGGCCAGGTTTCTCCCCCTGTAAACTGGGAGTGATTCTACCTTCCCCCTCCAGCTGTGAGGAGTAAATGAGGCCCTAGCAGGAGGCAGGTGGTGGGAGGCACCTAGTAGGTGTGACTCCCTCACCCCTACCCTGGCAGAGAGAAATGCCCTTTCTTACCCCCACCGACGCCTGAGGCACTGCCTGCAGTTCCCATTCTATCTGTGTAGAGCAATGAACTTCAGAAAATGAGCTGCCTGTGCCATATAGCCCAAGGCCCAAAGGGAGTCAGCCAGAGGAACTATAAGAGAAAGGAGGCATGCTACCTGCAAGGTAGTCACCAGCACCTACCTCCCCTCTCAGCCCCAGTCCACGTTGTGCCTGTCTGCCTGTCTGTGTGTGCGTGCATGCGTGTGTGTGTGTGTGTGTGTGCGCACGTGTGGGGCCAGGGACTAGCTGGAGGGATGTGGAACCTCTCAGGCAGGGACCGGTGGCCCTCTGGGGCTTGGTACTGCAGGATTCCTAGTCCAAGACCTGGCCGGTGTTTAAAATCAGATTTCACATAAGTTCCTAAATTTTCCGCTTCTCCTTTGAAAGATCAGAAGAGCTGTCACTACGCAGCCATTATTCCTGCCTGTAGACTATGAGCTGGAGTGGCACAGAAACGCTTACTGCAGATGGGGCATTGCCCTCCCCGGTGCCCCCTCCACATCCAGCCTCGGTCATATCTGTTTCTTGTATCTCTGGGACAGATGAACTCTTAGGTCCTTTGCAAGATTGGTTCTATATGTATTTTATCAAAAAGTGCTTGAAACTCTTCCCATCCCAGAGGTGAGGGAGCCCAGCACCCCTTGCTCCAGTGAAATTTGCATCTGGATCCTCCTCACCAGTTCCCGGCTGAGACGGTGGTTCCCTGGTGATTCAGGTGGGATTGGGCCCGGAGATCTTCGTCGGCAAGAACAGGGTGAGTGTGTCAAGGGTCAGGCTGAGAGCTGGAACCTGGGAGGATTGAGGGGGACGTGCAAGGGGAGTGGGGGGAGAGAGGGAGGGAGCTAGCATCTGCTGAGCACCAACCCTGATGTGCCAGGCACTGTGCCGGGCAGGCGCAAGGAGTGCAGAGATGCATAGTCGACCTTTCCTGTTCCAAGAACCCCAGGGATACTGATCACACAGTGAGACCAAAGGCTCATAGACCCAGGGTTAACACCAAGTTTGTCTAATGTAGTCTTCTCCAGTGTTTGTCAAACATAAGGACTCAAGGAACAGATCCACTGGGGGTCCGCAGACCTCAGTTTAAGAAATCCTGCTATTAAAGGTAAATCCTATCACTTCGAGTGATTGCTTTGGTGCCAAGGCAATCAAACATGAAGATAAATGCAAACGTGGAGTTTGTATGACAGTGCTCAGTATTAAGGTTAGTATCTAGATGACATCGAAAATGTTCACACTGCCTTTTCTTTTTCTTTTTTTTTTTCTTATTTGCTAATTGACTTTGTAATAAACACACTGCTTTTTAAATGGTCATTAGAACGTAGACACAAAATGAAGCTTTGGTCATAAAAATACAGCAAATATGATTGAATCATCACACATGCCTAGCACCATCCTAACCAGTTAGAGGTATTAATTCATTTGTTATAAAAAACAACCACCCTCTTGCAGGTAAGGAAACAGACTCAGCCCAGCTAAACAACTAATACAAAGTAACATAGCTAATAAGTAGCAGAGCCAACATTTGAAGCCAGGCAGTTTGGCTCGGAAGTTTATGCCCTTAACCATCATGCTGTGCAGCCAGCGTCTGAGACTTGAGGCTGAAGACCCCAGTTTGATAAACTCAGCCGGACACCCACAATCTGTGGGTGCTAGAAGTGTGTAGTGGGGGCTGGGCAAGATAGGTTTGGCAGGTCACGCAGGGAGTACTGGAGGGGTGTGGAGGGATTGGCAGCTGACGGGCATTTGGGGGTGGCTGGGGGCATCTCCGCTGGCTCCGGCCACAGCACCAGGTGGGATCCATCAGCCTCATGTAAACACTTCTCACAGGCAGCTTAACCACTTGAGTGTGTCTGGCCTTCAAAGCCAGTGGGAGAGGCCAAGGAGAGGGGTACCGAACTCCCTTAGGGGATAATGATTTATCTCCTGTGCAGGTGGGCTCTGCTGGGGCCTCCCTGAGAGGCGAGGGAGTGGACTGGCACTGAGGAGCCTAGAGGGGAAAGGGCTGGGACGGGGGTGCGGGGCTGTGCGGGGCGCCTCCACTCCAGCATCTCAGGTTTCTCACCGGTAAGCCCAAAGTCAGCTGACTCTCAGAGCGAGCCTGGGAAGTAGTCATGCTTATCCCCATTTTATAGATGAGGAAACTGAGGTTCAAAGAGGCTAAATGACCTGTCCAAAGGCATCTCACCAGAGGATGGGAAGGCGATGCATCTACAGAGCTTCCTGTGCTCAGACCTGAGCACTCACTGCTGTCCGGCGTCCCCGTGTGGAGTGGGTGGGTGTGCGGGGAGGTGTGACAGGCCTCTGCTGTGAAAGTGTATTGGGAGTGTCACAGCGTGAGTGTGTGATCTGTGAGTGGGAAGCAGAGTTTTCATTCCCACTCCCAGGTTGGGCTCAGATGTCCAACTTCCCAGACACATCAGGGGAGGGACCAGCTCCCCTGCCCCCATCACCCTAGCCGGCCAGCCAGCGGGTCCAGAGACCTGGCTCTCGCTGGGCTGGGGGATTATCCCCATTCTCTGTGTCTCTGGCCAGGGCGGGCATTGCTACCTCTTTTATCCTCTCACAAAGGCCAGGCCCGCCAGGCCTGCTGTGTCAGAGTTTCTGTGGCCGGGGGAAGCCTTACTTCCTTTTCTCCTGCCAAGCCCAGAGGGCCACGCAGAGTCTGCCAGTTTGTCCGGGGCCACTGCTGTAGCTCCAGGACAGGTGAAAGGCACATGGGTGGCTCAGCACTGGGAAGAGAATGCTGAGGGGTCACTCATGGAAGGACAGAGAGAGAGAGAGAGCGCCTCTTCAAGAGACATGATGTTACTGCAGCATGAGGTCTGTAGGGCAGACTTAAAGAAAGACTTCCATTGAGAGCTGGACAATATTAGGCAGGGGTGGGGCCAGCTGGCTCCTATTACTGAGAAATCATCAGTGATCCACAAGCTTGGTTGAATGCCCACCATATTCTGGCTACTCAGGTAGCTGGCTCTAGTCCCAGGTCAGGGAATTCTGCAAGATTGGAAAAGGAGCAGATTTCTTCTAGAAGGGAGATAGGTGGGTAACTTGAACTGTCCAAACATTCTGAGTTCTCAGTCTTCTGGGTAGGGGACCACATGGGAAAGTAGGAGACATAGGTAGTGGGGGACATGGTAACACAGAACTAACCCTTCTCTCTCCTCCCCCAACAGGTTGGTTTTTGGAGTAGTCCCTGCTGACGTGGCAAAGAGATCTCCCATGTGACACTCCAGGGTGCCTTTGAGGAAGGCTCTCTCTGAGGACCTCCCTTTGAGCTGATGGAGAACTGGGCTCCCCATGCCCTCTCTGTCCCCAGCTGAGATTATGGTGGATTTGGGCTATGGCCCAGGCCTGGGCCTCCTGCTGCTGACCCAGCCCCGGAGGCGTTAGCAAGAGCCCTGTGCCATCCACCCTCCCAGAGACCACCCCTCCTCCCAGGGGCCTGGAGCTGGCGCGTGACTATGCGGCTTGGGCTGTGTGTGGTGGCCCTGGTTCTGAGCTGGATGCACCTGGCCATCGGCAGCCGTGGTATCAAGGGGAAGAGGCAGAGGCGGAGTGAGTAATGGAGCGGGCGGGGCCCCCGCTGCCCTTGGGAGTGGGAGGGGACCACTGGGACTAGGGGGCCTTCAGGAGTTTTATTCTGTGATGACCCTCGCAGATTTCCACTCTGTCTATTGCAGCTTTGTAGATTACTCGGTAGATGATCCTATTTGTGCATCACCCAGTTGGTGGATTAATTTGTTGAGATTACCCACTCTGTAGATTACTCACTTTGTCTATTTTCCCCTTTGTAGACTCCGCTTTCTAGATTAACCCCTCTCTTGTGAGGACCCAGGTTGTGGATTATGCCCTTTGACATAACACCAGCTTTGTGCGGTATCCATGGAGATGCTTCCCGGGCCGCGCCCCGGCTGGGCTCTCACCGCGCAGGAGTTCAGGGATCCTTTCTTTCAGTGGCGGCTGGAGTGCAGCCCTCAGGCCCTTTGGGCCAGGAGCTCTGCACGGTTTGGCAGTAGGCAACAGGTCCTGGGACAGGAACAGGGAAGTAGGGAGGGTCGGGAGACCCTGGGATTCAGGGAGCTGCCGCTGGGGTCAGGGGAGGCAGGCAGGCAGGAGTCTGGCCCTACCACCCTTCACACCAGAGCAGCTTCACTTTTCCCCGCTTTCAGTAGTGAGCTTCCACATAAGATGTCATTGGAAGAAAGGGTTCTCATAGCTTGAGAAGAAAAGCTAAATTCTATCATTGCACAGATGCTAAGAAAGGGGAAGAAAGAGGCCTCGGGACACACACAGTCAGTGTTGGAACTCAGGTCTCCTAATGCCTATGAGCCCAGGTTTCTTGAACACAGTGTTCGATAGAGGCTGAGAGTAACCTGTGCCCACCCCCTGGCTAGGCGCTTCTTAGCCTCTGCTTTCTGTCTCCCGTGATGGGCTGTGCGAGCAGCCGCAGCATGTGATGGACCCATGCTAGGGAGAGGGTAGGGGCCCTAGAGTCCCAAGGTCCCCTCTCTTTCGATGTCCCCCCCCCCCGCCCCGCCAAAGAGATGCCACGCCTGCAGGCAGGAAATCTCCCTGAAGTCTAGCCGGGCTACCTCTTGCTTCATGTTTCCCGTCGGGCCGAGGCCCACCAGTGAAGGCTGAAAGGCAGTGGAGTTTTGTTGGGTCTCCACGGGAGCAGCCGAGGCCAGAACTTAGCCTGGGGAGAGAAGCTCAGAGAATTGGTGAAGCTGAAAATCCCTGGCTTAACAAACAATTAGAGACGGTTAGGTTTAATCAGCAGCAAGGCCGTGATTTCCCTCCCTCTCATCTGTTGTGGCCAGTATTTTTGACTCCATGGGCCAGATGCAGTTTAGCGGTTTATAATCAGTCTCCTCTATTTCCGAAATGAGAGAGAGAGAGACAGAGAGAGAGAGAGGAACCATTCACGCTCATGCGACATGCATGAGTGGTTACGCTTACACTCATACATGCAGAGCCACACGCCCATCTAAACCAGGGGTCACAGACCTGAGTTCAAGTCTGTTGTACTCAAAAAAAAATGTACTGGCCCGGGTGTCGGAAAGGGCTTGGTCTTAGCAGCGGCCGATCTAATGCAGCAGTTTGATGTGCCCGTTTCCAGACAGCCACATCTCACAGCCTTGGCAGCATGTGAGCCAGTTCTTACCACCAAGCGATGTGAGTGACAGACGTCCTTGACCCTGAGAGTCAGGGCGGGGCGCGGTGAGGGTCCAGGATGGATGGAGGCTCAGAGAGGGATGAGGGTGTATGTTGTTAGGCAATACTTGTCACCTGATAATTATAATAATCACAGTCACAAGCTGAAATGTGATTGCATAGGGATATAGTAAGGCTGACATGAGATAATAGACGTGTATTTTTAATAAGCTTTGTAAGACATCAAGCTCTGTGTAGACTTCAGGATGCAAGTCTTTGTTATATAAACAGTGTGGACCATTTTTTTTTTTTTTTTTGCGACAGAGTCTCACTCTGTTGCCCGGGCTAGAGTGCCGTGGTGTCAGCCTAGCTCACAGCAACCTCAAACTCCTGGGCTCAAGCAATCCTCCTGCCTCAGCCTCCCGAGTAGCTGGGACTACAGGCATGTGCCACCATGCCCGGCTAATTTTTTTTTTTCTATATATATATTTAGTTGTCCAGATAATTTCTTTCTATTTTTAGTAGAGACGGGGTCTCGCTCTTGCTCAGCCTGGTCTCGAATTCCTCACCTTGAGCGATCCACCCGTCTTGGCCTCTCAGAGTGCTGGGATTACAGACGTGAGCCACCGCGCCTGGCCTCAGTGTGGACCATTTTGCCCTGGGTCTCTGGGGGCATAGGGGAGGGAAGGAGGAGGACCAAGACACCTGTGTGTGGCCGCTCCGGGCTCTGCTCAGTGTGGGAGGGCACGAGGTGGGCACAGGGCAGACTCTGGGCACAGGTGGGTTTGCTGTGCATCTGAGCCTCGGGGCTGTTGACTCTGTCTGACATCCCTTGACTGCAGGTCACTAGAGCCGCCAGAAGCCACCCAATATAACTCTGGTCCTGAGCGGTACTCCAGTTTTGAACCCAGAAATGTCCAGTCTCAGAGTCTGAGTGATGGTCTCCCTGCATGGATCGGGGAGAAGCTAAGCAAAGAACTTCTCTTTAGCTCTGAGTTGTGAAGTCCCGGGCAAGGCCGCCCCCTCCTCCCCTCCTCCCCCCACTCCTCCGCTCCATCCCCCTCGCCCTCTTCCCCCTGCTCCCCTACTCCTCCCCCTTCTCTTCCACCTTCTTTCCCTCCTCCCCTTCCCCCTTCTTCCCCCTCCTCCTTCTGCACTCCCTGAGCCCCTCCTCACTCACTAAGCCCCTGTCTTCTCATGAGCTCTCTCTCACCCCTCTGGGTGCCTTTCCCATCTGGGGTCCCTGTACCTCACCGAGCCTCATCCCCAACCATCCCTCACATGGAGCACTCCCCTCTCTGAGCCCCTTCTCTTCTCTGATTCCTGGCCCTCCATGAAGCCCCCATTCCTTCACTGAGCCCCGACTCCTCCAGAGCTGCAATCTTGATCCCGTTTTGCCCCTTCTTAGTACCCCCTCCTCCGTCTGGAGCTTCTACCCACTGCCACGCTGACCACCCTGAGTCCCTCATCCCTCACGCCCCCGGAGTCCCTCCTCCCTCATGGTCCGCTCATTCCTTGGGTCACAGAGCAAATGTTCACTAGAACCTACAGAGGCCGGCCCTGGATCACAGAGTTGAATCCTGAGGCACCTGCAAACCGGTGGGGGGCGAGACCCTTTCAACTGGTGTCACCAATGCTTTGGCAAGAGGAGTTTTTGGCAGGAGGCAACCCCGGGGGCTGGGGGAGCCCAGGGGAGCTGGGAGAAGGCATGGAGTATTTGATTAGGAAGTGGGTGCCGCTAGGAGTAGCTGGGGAAATGATTTGTCCGTGGGGTTCTGGGGGGGGGGTCCTAGGATTTTAACTGGAGAAGCTGTGCTTATAACTGTTTCATACATTGAGGATCCTTTCTATTGAAAAGAAGGTTCTGCTGCTAAAACAAAAAGCCCGATACGCATTAGGATAGAGCACCGAAAGCTGTCTGGGGCTGAGGGAAGGGTCTTGGTAGAGGTCAGATCATCACTCTCTTGGTACTTGCCAGGCCGAGGAGTGTGGACTTGGCCTGATTGAGCTCTGGGTGATGAGGGGCCACTGAGAGGTTGTAATCAGGGGTGCACAAGCTCCAGCTGCAGCAGAGGCTGAGGGGAGGTGGCAGGAGGCAAGCAACCTAGGTAAAAGGCTGTTTGGCCCAGGGGAGAAAAAGTGAAGGTCTAAACTAAGTTCCCAGTTGAGTTAAAGAACCCTGGATCTTCCCCAGAGGACACGCCCAGGGCCTGTTGAATGTGCAGCGGATGGCCCTGGGTACCAGGAAGCCACAGGGATAGACAGCTCCTGAGACAACGTGTGGCCTGAGAAGGCTCTTGCCTGGCCCTTCCTCAGTCTCCCAACTGAGGCCCCACTCCCTGTCCTCTGAGCCCCGCCAACTGAACTCAGGTCTGTCTTACCGAATCCAGTTCCTCCAAGGCTAGAGTCCACCCCAAACCAAGGTCATCTCCTTTGGGTCATGGCAAGTCTCTCCACCCACGTAGACCCTAACCCAGCCTACCCCGGGCCCCCATTTCTGTCCGACCCCAGTCCCCACACTTTAGTGAATGAAAGCTCACTGAGATCTATCCACACACCAGCCCCTTCTCGAGACTCTGTCTCACTCACCGTACCCTCAACCCGACATCCCGGGGAGCCCTGTCCCCTCATGGAGCCTTACCCCTTCACTAGGCTCCCATTCAGAAATGACAGGCTCTGCCCTCCACAGCTCTTTCTAGAGGGAGAAAAAGACACGTTAGCAGAGATGACAATATAAGGTGATGTTTACCATGATAGAGTCAAGTGCTGGGGGCAGGGGAACACAGAGAAATACTCCGTTCAGACTTTGCATGGAGGTGAGATCAGGGAAGACTTCCTGGAGGAAGTGACTTTAATTCTGAGACTTGAAGGAGTCAGTCAGCCTCAGGAGGAGGCAGAAAGTCTTCCAGGCAGAAGGACGAACTTAAGCAAAGGCACAGAGGTGTGAAATAGTGTGATGTGTCCAGAAAAACAAAAATAGTTGGATATTGCTTAGGGGTGGTGTTCAGAGATGAGGCGGGTGGGATCAGCCTGTGAAAGCTTTTTAGGCCAGGCAGGGAGCTGGGTCTTAACTCTGGAGGTGATGGACAGCCAGTGATAGAGTTTAGGGAGGGCTGTGAAAACATCAGACTTTTGGTTTACGAAAGATCCCTGGCGACGAAGAAGGTGGGAAATGGAAGAAATGAAGCCCCTGGGAGGGACCGTGAGGCAGAGCCATCCTTCAGGGAGCGGCAGGGGCTGGGCCGCCTGGAACAAGTCCTCATCCTTGCCCAAGGCTGGAGGAGGCTGGGAGCAGGGGGACCTAGGAGGGCACAGACGTGCTGGGTCAGTGAAGCAGGCTGGGAAGCAGCGGGCTTGGGAGCCAAGGGAGGGGGGGGGGGGGGGGAAGGGCAGAGCTCTGT